TGTACAACCAATATTTTAATTATACTATAGATAACTGTAATAACAATATAGATGGATATAATGAAATTAAAGATTATATAACAAACTTAACCTATTCAACATTTACTGGGAGTCCAAAGGAATATAAATATCAAATATCAAACTCTGTAAAATCATTAAAATTTGAAGGTTTTTTTTCTAAAAGAATGGAGATTGGTTTTATTCCATTATCAGTTCATACATTAATTTTATCCTACCCCAAAACAATTGATCGAAATGTTATACCTCAATCAGTAACCATTTTAGATTTGCATTCATACAATGAACCCCTATTCGGAATAATACCATCAAGTGTCACTGACTTAACTCTCGGTATGGGCTTCAACTTTAATCAAAGTATAAAAAACTGCATACCCTCGAGTGTAAAAAAGCTAAATTATGGTGGTTATTATCAAAGATTGGAAATTGGTGATTTGCCTGATACCATCACATCTCTTACAATAGGGTCATATCATATAGCACCTGGTGTTATTCCATCTAGCGTCACAATATTGGATATTTCAAACTTTATTAAAATATTGACCAAAGATATAATTCCTAATTCTGTAAAATACCTAAAACTTCCAAAAAATTATAATAGCATATTAACAAAGGATGTAATTCCAAACTCTGTCGAAGAACTGGATGTTGGTAATAGCTTTAATCATCATCTGATACCCTATGAATCTATTCCTCAATCGGTTAAAGTTTTAAATTTGGGACCTAGTTTTACAAAAAAACTTTATCAAGGCTCAATTCCTGCATCATTATCCGAATTAACCATATCTGAAGATTTCAAACAAATCCCATCAACAATAAATAAAATTAATTATATCAAACCCAATACTCCGTCTTTTTATAGAGAATTTAAAACCAAAGCCACAATTATTTAGAATCAAACATATTTCTTGTTTTCACAAAAACTATTCAAAAAAATAAGAAAATTTAATAAAAATTAATAAAATAAAAGATATTTAGTTTTTGATAATTTTAAAAAAAATTAATTAATTTTAAAAAAAAAACATAAAATTTTTTAAAATTATTTTAAAAAAAAAAAAAGTTAGTTTAAAAATAATATAAATACTGCTATAATAAATATATCGAACTAATGGATCGATTATTTTTTTCAGTTTGGAGAAATGTAATTTTAAGAAAAGAAATATCAAATCATTTAAAATTATTTATTTATAAAAATCATACATTCAATACTATAGAAGAATACACAACTCACCCAAATAAATTCTATTTTACAAATGTTACATTAAATATCATAGAGAAATTAAATAGAGATGTTTTATTAGATTCAATAGATACCTTAACATTGGGGGATGGCTTTAATCATAAAATAAAAGAAGGCTCCTTACCTGCTTCAATTAAAACATTAAATACCGGTGGTTTCGATAAATTACTTAAGCCAGGTGATATTCCTTTATCAGTTAAAACTCTAAGACTAGGCAATGAATTCAACCAGCCACTTAAAGAAGGAGACATACCATCATCAGTCGAAACTTTAGTTTTTGGTATAAAGTTCAATAGTGCACTCACACCAGGAGTAATACCATCCTCGATCGAAAATTTATTATTTCTTCATTATTTCAACCAGCCACTTAAAGTAGGAGATATACCACCTTCAGTTAAAGCCCTAGGGTTTGGTTCTTTTTTTAACCAGCCACTTGGAGAAGGAGTATTACCATCTTCACTCGAAACATTGGTTTTGGGGGATGGTATGCAGGTACCACCGGAATCAGTTATTATACCATCTTCAGTTACAACTTTAGAATATACAATTAACAGTGAACTCAGTGCCGGAAATATACCACCATCAGTTAAAAATTTAGAATTTGGTACTTTTTTCGATCAGCCACTTAAACAAGGTGATATACCATCCTCTGTTGAAGAACTAATATTTGGAGAATTCTTCAATCAGCCACTTAAACAAGGTGATATACCATCCTCCGTTAAAACTTTAACATTCGGTCATTTTTTCTATCATCCACTTAAAATAGGCGATATCCCATCATCTGTACAAACATTACGGTTTGTTAATTATGCCAGGTCAACTTTTGGTGATTTTATTCCAAAATCAGTTAAAATAGTCAGGTAACAAATTCAACCAAAAAATAACTCATGTACAATTTTAAACTTAGGTTCGGCTAACTAAACATTATTACCCAACTCAATTCACTAACACCTCAATTATTTTAAATTTATATAAACAAGTTTTACATATCGATATGGATTAATCACTGTTCTCACATCACCAATAAACATTCAACATAATTTATTGAAGATAAAACATTAAAATCTTCGAAAAATCACAATCAAATCCCCACTTTACATTTTATAAAAAAGAAATAAAAATTATAAAATCTTACATTAAAAGAATATAATCAATTTTTTATACATAAAAGGATCCTTTTTTTTTTTTTTTTTTTTTTTTTTTTTTTTAACCACCTCAAAAAAATTATTTTTAAATTTTTTTTTTTTTTTTAAATTTTTTTTTTTTATTTTTTGAATTTATTTTTAAATTTTTTTTTTTTTAATCATTTTTTTATCTTCGTTAAGATATATAACTTTGTATGTATTAATATGATTAAAAAAAAAAAAAAAAAAAGCAACAAACACGTTAATTATAATTTTAAATATTAATTCATATAAAATTTTTTATTTTTCAAGAAAAAAAAAAATGGGTGCTAGTTTATCCAAAGAATTTGATAAATTAAAAGATAAAGGTGAAACAGATTTAGAACTTATCGATAAAGGTATTGATGAGTTACCAAGCAATATAGGTTCGATTGAAACATTAAAAAAACTCAATCTCAGCAAAAACAATTTAAAGAAACTCCCACCAACCATCGGTAATTTAAAAAACCTCACCGTTTTAAATTTGTTCAATAACAGCCTTAGAGAATTACCACAAGAGATTACCCAATTAATAAACTTGGAATCAATTAATCTTAGTGTTAATAAATTAAAAGCTTTACCAAGAGGTTTTGGTTCATTTAACCATTTATTCTTTTTAGATGTTAGCTATAATAGGTAATTATTATTATTATAACAATTTATATATATATGTATTTTATTAAATTAAAATTAATTATTATATTTTATAAACTTAGCATTACAGAATTAACCTCACAAATTGGTTTAATTACAACATTAAAAGAATTACATATCTCATTTAATGAATTGACTGAATTACCAGCTGAACTATCAAGATGTTTAGAATTAGAATTAATCAATGCTAGTCATAATAAAATCGTTGAATTACCAAGCGAATTATCTAAATTACCAAAACTTAAGATCATCAATGTAACTGGCAACAAATTAAAATTCATTCCACCAGAATACGGCAACTTACCAAAAGTTGAAAAGATTGATTTCTCAAAGAATTCAGATATCAATAAAACTTTAGATAGCAATGCCATTAGAGGTCCAGAAGTATTAATTAAATATATTCAAACTGATGAATACAAGTCAATTTATTACAGCGAAACTAAAAAGCCAAGACCAGCCGATGACGCTCCATCCACTACCACAACCACCACAACCACAACTGCAACTACACCAGAACCAGAAGATGATGATAAAAAAGTACCATACCATTAAGGAAGAAATGCTTTTTAGGATATCTACATTCTGTACATTAAAAAAAACAAAACAAATAAAATGTGTATAATAACTTTAAAAAATTTTAATATATTATTTATTTTCTTTTTTATTTAAAAAATTAATTGTTTATTTATATTTAGATTATTTTATATATTTATTTTATATTTATTTTGTATATTATTGTTTTTTTTTTGAAATTTATGTGCTGAAATTATTTATGATTATGATTAAGATATATTATTTATTTTTTTTTTTGTTTTTTGTTTTTTCAAATATCGGTAGGTACTGGATGTCCATCTATTATTTTATCTGTGGTACTGATTAAAATAAACTTCTTCATTATCAATAAACACAATTGCCTCTCTTCTTTTATTTAATATATTTGAAATTTGAGAATCTTTTCCTTGAATAGAGGCAAAGGTTAATTGACAAATTTTATCATTCCATGAATGCTTCCAACATTTATGATGAAATACTTTAAAAAATTGAATGGCATCTTGATGATTTGGTATATTAGCAAAAGCATAGCCATAATTTACTTTAGACTAAAATAAATAAAAAAATATTAAATATTAGTTAAAATAAAATAAAGATAAAATAATTATTTAAAAACTTACATGTGGATCAATTGGTAAATACAAAAAGTCAATCGAACCAAAATATTCTGCTCTAATAATTTCTAAAAATTTTCTTTGTGTTAATCTATTTGGAATATTTTTGATCATATATGTTGTATCTTTAGAATTAATGTTTATATTTGGAATATTTATGTTGTCTTCTAATGGTTTACTGCTTTGGTTGGTAAAATCGAGTATATAGTCTTTACCTTGGAAAAGCATACAAAAAATCTCCCCATTGAAACCTGAAACCGATGGTGATGATGATAACGATTTAATTTTATAGATGGTTTCTTCTCTGTTAAATATATATGATTTTAAATATAAAAGCTTCAAAAATTCGGATTTTATAATCTTTTCGATACTTTCACTATTCATTATATTAATTATTGAATTTAGTTTTTCGAAATTAGCCTTGATACTACTTTCGTTGATATTGTTGTAACAACCATTACTGTTTATATTGTTGTTATTGAGGTTATTTATATAACTATAGTTGAAATAAAAGTGATTTAAAAAGTTTCTATTATTTAAAAATAATTTATTATTTTTAAAATAATTATTACTATTGTTACTATTTATACTGTTGCTTTGATTTAAATTTGTGTTGCTACTATTATCTGATTTTAATGAACTATCTCTTAATGAAATTATTATACTTTGAGACTCGGTTTTAAAATAATAGTGGGTCATTTCGTAACCATATTGAGAGCTAATTCTGCTATTTGGTCCGCCAATGTCAGTCTTTAATTGATCAATGTTACTTAAACTATTGCTGCTACTATTTAAATTTATACTACCGTTGCTACAATTTAAATTTATACTATTACTACTATTGTTTAAACTATTGCAACCACTATTACCACTGTAACTATTGTTACTATTATTATTTAAATAACTCCATTTTATGTTGCAATCCCTAAAATATTTGATTAATTGTATTGTAGATCTAAAATCGTAAAAATCTACATATTTAGACATCATATCATTTGGGGAACTTCCAACTTCGTATACATCACCAAATTGGCTAAAGAAGAGGTGCAGAGAAAAGTTATCAGCCTTATCATCTGTGGAAAGGAATGAAACACCACTGATGCTTTGTTGGCTTTCTATTTCCATGGAACAGTAATTGATCATCATATATTTACCAATTGGGGAATTCTTCAAGTCATTATAAGCAGAGATGGCATCTCTTTGATCGAAATAAGTAACAAATAAATAACCTGGTATATTTCTTCCACAACCATAGACAGCATGAATATCTCCATAGCAAAGCAATCTTAACTTGAGTTCTATTTGATTAACTTTTCTAATACATCTAAGGTAAAGCGATCTGGATGGGTTTAAAGGTGATCTATAGACAAACTTATATCTTGGCAAAACTGATTCTGATTCTACATTAGGACAACTACTGCTACTACTACCAAGATTACCAAGGCTTTCTGTTGGGAAATCAAATGATAAATAATGAATTTTATTTGGGTAACTGTTTAATGTATTATATCTTTTTAATATTCCAAGATATTTAACTGGTTTGAAACTATAATTATTATTATCGTTATTTTTTTTATTGGAGTGATAGTAATTATTCATCTTTTCATTTAAATAGCTCATTAATTGATCTTCGGCCAAATTTAAATTATAAAGAGACTCTTCGCAATCATATATTTCTTGAAATGAAGGTTGATTATATAATATTTTAGGGTATCTATTATTTAATATATGAAAGTGTTCATTTTGAATTATATGTTTAAAATGAACAGTATTATTATTATTATTATCATTATTGTTATTGTTTTTATGATATGACTTTATTAATAGATCTGGTGAATATTTATGATTAATAGTATCTGGTACTGAGTCCCTTTTTAATTGTAATAGTATATTGAACAAAGGTATATAGTGAGAATAATAACTATTTAATTGATTTAATATTTCATAAGAATAAAAGTCGACATTTTCTAAGATACTAAAAGCAGATATAATTGATTCTAAAGATACTAATTCATAAATGGCCGAGTGGACTTTGACTGCACCTTTACAACTTATCCTTTTTAAAGATAAATCTTCTAATTTTTTAATGATCTCTATTAATTCACTGAGCTGTGTATTTTGTGAACAATCTAACAACCATTGATCTTGTATTATACCAAAAGATGATATTTTAAATTTATCAAAATCGACTGATATTAATTTTTTATTACTATTAAATGGGTAACTACTATTTAAAATTGAATTATTGTTTAAAAATGATGATGATGATTCATTATTAATATTATATAAAAAAAATTCTTTCATGCAAATACTATTACTACTACTATTACTACTATTGCCACTATTGCTACCACAACTATTACTATTATATAAATTATATAACTGATTCATATTATTTTCGTATATATATTTATTTATATGAATTATATTTTGTTGAATAATATTAAACTCTTTTTGATAGTCACCAGTGACACTATTTTTTATATTATTTTTACATTTATTACAATTATTACAATTATTGCAACCATTAACCTCATTATTAAAATTATTAAAGTTATTTTTATTATTAATATTATTTATATTATTATTATTATTATTACTATTATTATTATTATTATTATTAATATTAATATTGTTATTACTGTTACTATTATTAGTTTTATAAACATTTTTATTATTATTATAAATTAACTTTGAATCATTTTTTATATATTTATTATTATTATTATTATTATTATTATTATTATTATTATTATTATTATTATTATTATTATTATTATTATTATTTATATTATTGCCATAGCCATTACTATTATTTTCACTATTAAAATAATTATTATTTATATTACCATTATTAAAAACATTATTCATATTGTTATTAAATATACTATTATTAAAAATATTATTATTAAAAATACTATTATTATTTAAATTTAAAAAAATATTATTTTTAATATTATTATTATTAATATTATTATTTGATTTTTTTATTCCATTATAACTTGCATTTTATTATTATATGTGGAATTATCACTA